CTGCTGGGTGGGTAGAGGAACTTGCCAGGGCCAGTGCTGCCAGGCTTGGTTTAAGGAGCCAGTGCCCTGGGAGGGGGCTGGATTCATGATTCCAATGATGAGCTCACCCTATCTAGAGTAGCAGCTTCCTCCCACCACCTCCTCACACTCTTACCTTTTCACCCTTTTAAATTTTCTTTATAGCAGTTATCACACTTGACTTTACTATATGTTTATTTTCTGTCTCCCCCCAGTAGAATCTAAACTCCACAAAAGCATTTTGCTCATTACAGGATCACCGGTTCCTCAATACCTAGCACTTTGTAAGCCCTCAGTAAACATGTTGTATAAATGAATGAATGAGCAAACACATAACAAAGAATTATTAGTAACTAAGGTCTGTAGTCCATTCCCCTAATGAGATACTCCGAAAACCAAGCAATGCTGAGTTATGATCATTGTTTATAGTAGGTGGGTTTAATTTGTATCCCTTTTATTCAGCTAGAGCAACCTGCCTGTGAATGAGTGGTTCACTTTCTAAATCTATTTCAATCCTGTGCTCTGGAAAGTGATCCCTGCTGAGTAGTTATGTCTTTATAGCTGTCAATCACAGGAGCAGCCTTGCTGGGCCATCAAGCCCCAGATGTTGGTCTCCTGTAGGCAGATCAGGACTGCCTGAAGGGAGAAGGAAGCATGTTACCACAGATATCCAGGACACCCCTGAGCTGGGTTCACAAGCCCCTGGAGTAGATGACACAGGGAGGAAGCCTCTCCAAGGCTTCTAATTTCCTGTGGATGGGCTCCTAGTGGCAACACCCAGGACCTGGATTTGGAGGTAGCTGATGGCTTGCCTAGCAAGAAGGCCACAGGTAACAAGCCTCCCTTGACTTGGTGAGGAAGTGCTTTACTCCAGCCTCACCTAATCCATGTGCCTCCCGAATACTAAGAGTGATGTAGACTTGGGTAAGGCTCCTGGGATCCATCCTCCCACGTGAAAAGAAGCAGAGATACTGACAGCCCCAGTAAGAGGCATGTCTTCTGAGTTGAGGAGGAGATTGAGGTGTGCAGGAGGGAGCCCAGGGTTTCCCGGTGCACAGGCCCACTGGCTGCAGTGGTCTGCAGCGGTGGGCACCATGCAGCAGCCCTGGTGCATCTTCCTGCAAAGATCCACAATTCCTTGCTCTGTGTGGTGCAGCTGCTGCCTTTCCCAAGTTTCCATATGACAGTTATAAAATCACCTGCAAACCTAAATCCAGTGAGTGCCTACAGATGACACACTCAACAGCTCAGAGAATGATTCAGAGGAAGCAATCTTCCAAAGTGAAGATAATCATCCGTTAGTGTGAAAAGGCAAGCACTCTTTTATTAGCATTGGAAGCTCAAGGGAAATGTGGCTAAAGCCATAAAAGCAGCACTTCAGTAAATGGCTCAAGAACAATATCCACAGCTGGAGGGAAGGACATGTATAGATTCCTCTCCCACTCAGAGTTCTACCACAAAACTTGTTCTCGTGGAAGGAAGGCAAAGTCAGCTCTGACCTCTCCCTGTTTACTTCATCAACAGCTCCTGTAAGTTCTGTCCCTGTGGCCACACAGGGAACCCCAGAATTCAGAATTGACTGGTCTTCTTTTATCTACATACTTTTCCCAGGTGACCTCAACCCATCTCATTCTTTATTCTGTGACATTAAAATTAATATTCCAGGGCTTCCCTGGTGGCGCAGTGGTTGAGAGTCCGCCTGCCGATGCAGGGGACACGGGTTCATGCCCCAGTCCGGGAAGATCCCACATGCCGTGGAGCAGCTGGGCCCGTGAGCCATGGCCGCTGAGCCTGCGCCTCCAGAACCTGTGCTCCACAACGGGAGAGGCCCCAACAGTGAGAGGCCCGTGTACCGCAAAAAAAAAATAAATTAAAAAAAATTAATATTCCAGCGCTGAGCACTCCTGGGACTTCATAGAACCAGTTGCCTATTTGAACTCTTTATTTGGATACTTAATAGACATGTCATACTTAGAACGGCCAAAATTAAACTCTTGATCTTCTCTCTTTTCCAGTGTCTTATTATTGCATAAGAAAGCACCCAAAGCCTAATGACTAAAACAACAATAATCATTGATTTTGCTCACAAGTCTGTCATTTTGGTACGGCTCAACGGGGACTGCTCAGTGAAGCATCAGCTGGAGAATCCATTTCTAAGGTTAGCTGGCAAGTTTTGCTAGCTGTCACCTGGGAGTCAGCTGGGCTGTGGGGAGGTGGGGAAGGCTTGGTTTCTCTTCACGAGCTGCTATGGCTTCCTCAAGGCACGGTGACTGAAGTCCCAGTGAGTTTCCCAAGAAGACGAAGTGGAAATTGCTAGTATCTTAAGTCCTGGGCCCAGGAACTAGTAAAATGTTACTTCTGCCATATAAGATTGGTTAATCAGTCACAGATCCTAGGTTCAAGGGGAGGGGCAAAAGGCCCCCAACTTTGCATGGAAGGAGCATCAAAGAATTTGTAGACAGGTTTTTAGATTGTCACGTGTCCCAAACCTGCTCCTCCTGCAGTCTTCTCCATCTACCAGTTATTCAGACAACTAGGGGTAACCTTCAGTTGATGTCCTTCCCTTCCCCTTCTACCCAATCACCAGCAAGTTCTGGTGACTCTCTCCCAAAACATGTCCAGAATCCTTCTGTTCTCTCCTCTACACTACTCCCGCCTTACCCAGACAACCTCATCTCTCACTGGATGGCTGCTTGGTTGGTTGCAGTAGTTTGTTAACTGCTCTCTGCCTCTGTGCCTGCTTTCTAAAACCTATTCTTCATACAGTAACCAGAGCTATCTTTTAAAAACAGAAATCAGATCACCCCACTTTTCTGTTCAAACCCCCTCCAAAAGCTGCACGACATATTTAGAATTAAACCCACAACCCTCATTCTGAATTCCAAAGCCCAGTGTGCTCTGGTCCCTGTCCAGTTCCCTGGCCTCATCTCATGCCACTTGCCTTCTCACTAGTCTGTGATCCACACACATGCTTGCTGCTGCCTGATAGCCTTTGCACCTGGCTTTCCTCTATCTGGAATGTTCTTCCCCCTGATTTGTCGAAGGCTGGTTCCTTCTCGCCATTTATTTTTCAGTTGAAATACCGTTTACCTAGAGAAACCGCCACAATTCCCAAACCTAAAGAAGCCACACCATCATCTGTTATATTAACTATTTTAATTTTCAACATAGCACTTACTACTAGCTGGTACTTTCCGTGTTGATTTGTTCATTGTCTCCTCCCTCTAAAATGTAAGCTCTAAAATGACAAGACCTTGTCTGTCCTGTCACTGTGCATCCCTAGGACCTAGAACAGTGCCTGGCAAACAGCAGATGTTTGATAACTATTTACTGATTTAACAGGTAGCAACAGTAGCCCCTGCCATCCAGTCTTCCAACAGGACCACAGAGTCTCTCAAAGTGGTTGATGGGTATAGAGAGGAAGCTTCAGGAGGGCCTCAGTGGCTCATGCATGGCCCAGCTCCTGGAGGATGCTTCACAGAGACCAGGTTTATGCAGCCTCCTTCCAACCCCCACTGTACTGCCATCCCTAGCCTTCTTGTGAAACCAGCCATACAGAATCAGACAGTCCTAAGGACAAAGTTACTAACATGCTTGGACGGGGTGGCGCAGTTCTGCTGCCATCGGTCAGGTCATTAACTCACGTTGTATTACATTTGAATTTTCATCTTAGGGTCAGACTCAGAAATGCTGGCCAAGTTCCAGCATCACCAATTCCAAGTACTTGTATTAATGATTATTTTTTAAAACGAAGATGATCAAATTTTTGAAGAGAGACTTAGAAATGGTTATTTAGGACCATCCAAATAAATTTTTTAAAGTTTGATTGGGCTTTTAAAAACTCAATGTTATTAATAGGTTAAAAAACAAAACACTGAGGTGAAAAGAGAATTTAACAATAAATGAAATAATCTTTGTTTTCTTCAAAAATGTTTCTTAATCTTTTTTTTTTTTTTTTTTTTTTGGTACTTTGGGGGAGAGAATTGATTGTGTGCAGAGTTCGTTTGCTACTGAATTAAAACACTATGGTTGTGTGTAGTCAGCCCATTCATTAGGGAAATGGCAGCTTGTTTGATAGAAGTCTTTTTTATTCACTGTAATGAGATTTTTGCCTGTGGATTTCAATTTTTAAAAATTCAATAATATTGAAAAATCAAATTCCTGTGGGAGAAAGTGACTGTGAGGTCCCACTGTGCCAAGAGAAAGTGAGATGATTCTGTGGTACTGAGAGGCCGGGATTTGTGTGCTTCCGGCAGTGGGTGACCATTAAGGGCCTGAGACCACCCTGAGCTGTGAAGCCCGTGCCCTTGGACCCCAGTCAGGCTCTGAGCTTGGTGAGGGGAAGGAGGGCAAACATGACAGGCTGGTCTGTACCACGTCGCACCTGGACCTTGTACGCCCTGTGCTGGGAAGCCCTTGGAGGAAGGAGAACCCTTGGCGGTATTGACTCGGGGTGTGTGAAATCTCCTTTTCATGATGGATGGATTCTCATCCATCGAGGAGATCACATCCTATCTGAACTCTCCAGGCTCTACTGCAGCACCCAGAAGAGTGGTGCCCTGAGGGCACAGCTGAAGGTGTAAGACAAGCACTGTGCATTTGCTCTGAGGTGGAAACTGGCAACAGGGAAGGCCATCGATAGGTCTACATTATGATGTCTGTGGAAGTGCTTAGTTTCTATCTTTTTATTTCTAATTCTTTCTGCTGTAAGTAATTTCTAGTGATCACTGCTTAGGACTCAAGCTTCTGGGATCAAACTTAGGTCACACAGGCTGGAGAAGGCTGTGGAGTCATTGAGTCCTCCCAGGTCCTGGGTGGGTAGATGATGCCTGGAGGACTCTCCCTCCCTCCCTCCCCCCTTTCCTGCTCTGCCTGGTCGGAGCCGACACCTGAATGCAGAGGGCTCCCTTAGGGAGGACTATGCTGGAAGAAGCTGAAGTCTCAGACAAGGCAGCCCCTCAAGGAGGAGTGAGGACCAAGAAGGACACGTGCATCTCACCTGAGCTGACTGAAGTCCCGCTCAGCCAGCCCTTGACATATCCAAGACATGTGCCCACAGCAGTGAGAAGCGAGTAAGACTCAAAGCCGTTCTCAGTCCACATCCACAGTGCTGGGAAAGAAAAACCAAGTTCAATTTACCAAAATATCTGTATTATCTATAAAAATTGAACTCTAACCAGCCACTGCTACTAGAGGCAGCGTTATCCGGCTATGCTGGCTGCAGAAGCAGATCGCTGTGTTCCACCAGCCCACAGCCCAATGCTGTGCTGAGTGGCACGTGGGCAGCCTCATTTGTAAGGCCTCAGAAACCTGGACACTTTGGAACGGAGCAATCGGATGAAGGATCTTGGAAACATTTCCCGGGACTCCTGGGCTGTGTACTTGAAATAGTTCTGGGGGTGGGCCAGAACGTCAAACAGAGCCTTGATCAGTTTCTTATCCTGAAAAGAACAGAATTTTGTTACTGGGCCAAAATATTTTAACGTTATGACATTTTGCCAATGGAACTATAATGTCCCACTGTTAGGCGGTAGGTTGATCAGCTGAAAAACGCTTTGTGAAAATTGTCTCCTCTGATTTTTATCTTTTTTAGTCCCAATTTTTGTTTCCTAAGTATCTATAAAGAGCACATATTACTTTTATTTTAAAAATTTAATATGTAAAAAATTGTTTTTCTAAACCATGTGATAACTTTGGAATTGGGGGAATATTTATAGCATTAGTGATATGGCAAGTGTTTATTTATACTTATAAGTATCTAAAATTTGGTGGACTTCAGGCTGGAAGGATGAGCAAGGAGCCAAGAATCTTCAACTATTTGGAGAATGAACATGGAAACATGAGTTGCCGCTGGCTTGGATTTCTGATAAACAAGTTTCCCTCTGCTCCTCCACACATTTCCAAACTAAAAAATACTACTTTATTTGACAACACTAAAAATGGCCCCTTGAGTTTTTTTTTAAAAAAACTAAGTCTGGTGAAGATATAAAACTGACCTCAGCCCAGAGCAGGCTCAGTGTCTGAAAGGTAGCAAGAGGAAACCCTTCCTCGGTGGCGCCTGGCGAGCCCTGTGGGTGACTGCCGTGGCCACCTCGGGTGCATACTCACCTTCAGTATTTCCTGATGGTTCTCTGATGCGTAGAGCCTGCCATCTCGAACTATGTCTTCGATGAGTTCCTGGTAGTCCTCTGTTTGAATAAAGGACATATTTTGCATTTGTATGCTTTAGCTCTTTCCAGGCTGACTCTTTCATTTTTCAAATAAGGTTCTGAGAAATGCCCCTTCTGTAGCTGCCATCAGAACAATGACCTCTCTGATACTAAGAAGGCAATCAGAGAGGACTTCCACAGACTCACCCGCTACCTCCTCTCACCCACCAGTGTCTGCATCCATCTCTCCTGTTCCTCCCTCAGATGAACCTCTGTATATCCAGCCAAGACCCATCCCTCCACTTTGCTTACCAGCTCCATCTTCTCTCACCAAATCAAGGACGTTTTTCCACTAATTCTGCCCTTCCTTTCCTACGTGATGAAATTTTGTCTCTGCTGGTCTTTCACACCAGCATGCAAACATGCTGTTGTTGTGTCTCCAATGTTTTAAAAAAAAACCCTCTCTAGACCTCATTTCTCCCTCCAGCTTCCATCCCACGTCTCCGCTCCCCTTTGTAGCAAAACTCCTTGAAAGAATTGTCAGCACTCACTATCTCCAATTCGATTCCTTTCTTTCTCTCTCACACCCATTCCAGTCAACTCTGGCCCCCAGCACTCCTCCAAAACTGCTTGTTGGGGTCACCAGTGACCTTCATGCTGCTCAACTCTTAGTCCTCATCTTCCTTGATGCATCAGTAGCATTTCAAAGTCTAGCCTATTTCCTACAGTCATAATTCAAATCAAGCATATGCAAAACACTACCTTTTTTAAATTCCAGGCAGAAAAGAATGCCTCTTTGTACGCATATCATGTGCAACAAATCCAAACAAATCATAAGAACATCACTGCAACTGTGTGGGAGAAAAAGTTTCTCCTGCTCAAGTGATGGGAAATGGAAATTCATAGGATAATACTCATAATTACTAATTTAATACATGTACAATATCGCTGGTCTTCTATTCATGTGGTCTCTTTCATCTTATCCTTTCATTTTCGTGAATACAAAATCTATAAAATATGAACGAGGGTACATTTTCTTTCTTTTTAATCTTGAATTCCTCTACTGCAGAGTCTCTACCTCAGAGAATTAGCTCCTTTTGATGAGGAGTTCACCGTTAGGAACGCCTGTCACTGTTCTAGAGAGCTGTTTGCCACTATCCCAAATGCTTCCAAACCACCATCTTTTTAAAAAATCTTTCCTCTGCTTTTAAGAACTACAGTGTCGGGCTTCCCAGTGTCGGGCACAGTGGTTAAGAATCCGCCTGCCAATGCAGGAGACATGAGTTCAAGACCTGGTCCGGGAAGATCCCACATGCTGCGGAGCAACTAAGCCTGTGTGCCACAACTGCTGAGCCTGCACTCTAGAGCCCGTGAGCCACAACTACTGAGCCCGCATGCCACAGCTACTGAAGCCCGTGCGCCTAGAGCCCGTGCTCCGCAACAAGAGAAGCCACCGCAATGAGAAGCCTGCTCACCACAACGAAGAGTAACCCCGGCTCACCGCAACTAGAGAAAAGCCCGCATGCAGCAACGAAGACCCAGTGTAGCCAAAACTAACTAACTAACTAAATTTATTTAAAAAAAAGAACTACTGTGTCTCCTCACTTGCTCCAACTGTCATGAGAAAAGCACTCCAATGTTGTAGGTAAGAACTCAGGAGTCCCAAAGACCCCTGCAACTTTGTCCTGCTGTGCTCTCAGGCAGTTACTTAAATCTCTAAGCCACAGTGGCCTCATCTGTAAAATCAGGAGAGTCGTGTTCATTGCATGGGTGGCTGTGAGGAACGTGCCGAGTCAAGGGCACTTGGCATATGCCTGGTCCTCATAAACTCAGCACATGTTAGCCGCAGCTACGGTGCTCCCTGCTCTCCAGGCCAGTGGGCTAGTCTGTAGCAGCCTCAGCTGCCCCTTCTCAATGTGACTGCTATGCTTCTGGGCTTGGAACCAGATATCAAAACTGTCTGAAATATAGGTTGAAAGAAAGAATTAAATAGGCTCTGGTGAAGACCTAAAAAGCTTCTGCACGGCCAAAACAGCAGTTTTCAACTATTTTCTGCTGTGACAGACACAATTTTTTAAAAAATTGGGGTATTGTTGTTTAACAATGTTGTGTTAGTTTCTACTGTACAGCGAAGTGGAGTTCCCTGTGCTATACAGCAGGTTCTCATTAGTTATCTATGTTATACATATTAGTGTATATATGTCAATTCCAATCTCCCAGTTCATCCCACCCGCACCCTCTCTTCTCCCCTCGGTGTCCATACATTTCAGACACACTCTTGTGGGCCTAACCAGGGTTATATGTCATTTCCCCTGGTTCAAGCTACAATGCTTTGTTTGAATTAAAGAAAAAAATCAAGACGTTTTCATGTGTCACAGAGTTGAGAACAGCCTGACTGAAATGTGTGAACTTTGGTGACATTTGTTCTGGAGTCTCTGTGGCTTTTTGGCTCCTTCCTGATCCTAGATGGGGGAGGTTGTTGGCTGGCTGCCTTTGGGGAGATAAGATGCTCTGAATCCCAGCAGAGCCACCTGGGAGCCATGTGTGTCCACCTAGGAGTCTGATACTAAGGGCCCTTGTCTTAGTGTTTGACATGGTTTCAGGCACCAGGATGATGATTCTAGAGTTTGTCACATGTTAGAAATAAACTATGTGAGGTGTTTTCAGGAACTCCATAGAATATCATCTTTCCAAACAGCAGGTTTAGTTATCTATGTTATACATATTAGTGTATATATGTCAATTCCAATCTCCCAGTTCATCCCACCCGCACCCTCTCTTCTCCCCTCGGTGTCCATACATTTCAGACACACTCTTGTGGGCCTAACCAGGGTTATATGTCATTTCCCCTGGTTCAAGCTACAATGCTTTGTTTGAATTAAAGAAAAAAATCAAGACGTTTTCATGTGTCACAGAGTTGAGAACAGCCTGACTGAAATGTGTGAACTTTGGTGACATTTGTTCTGGAGTCTCTGTGGCTTTTTGGCTCCTTCCTGATCCTAGATGGGGGAGGTTGTTGGCTGGCTGCCTTTGGGGAGATAAGATGCTCTGAATCCCAGCAGAGCCACCTGGGAGCCATGTGTGTCCACCTAGGAGTCTGATACTAAGGGCCCTTGTCTTAGTGTTTGACATGGTTTCAGGCACCAGGATGATGATTCTAGAGTTTGTCACATGTTAGAAATAAACTATGTGAGGTGTTTTCAGGAACTCCATAGAATATCATCTTTCCAAAACACCTACTTTTCACACCTGTCTGCCTAAAAACCTTCAGTGGCTCCCTATAAGATTAGGTCCACCCTTCTGAGCTTGGCACTCGAGACTCTTCATAGCCTAACCCCACCTGCTTCTAATCTCATCTCTCACTGCTGAGCCCCATGAACCCTACCAACTGGCAAAATCATTAGTCCCCAACATGCCAGGTACTCCATTCTTTGGCCTATGTCATTCCCTTTTCCTGAATGTTCTTCCTCCCATTTATAAGAAAACTTACATATTCTTTCAAGACACAAATATCTTGAGACTTTGCTCTATTCTTTCCAAAAACCCATGCAAAATGAATGGCTGCCCCTTTTTCTGTGTCACACAGAGCCTTGTACATGCCCCATTGTAGCATCTATGACACCATATTCTTTTTTGTATCTCTGTCACTAACTGTGTTGTCTCCAGCACCTCACCCAATACCTGGCATACTAGATGCTCATTAAATATTTGTGGGATGGATGAATGAATAAGTTCATGATGAACAGATAACTCTTCCCCCGCTAGGTTATGAGGTCTTCCAGGACAAGGCCCAGTTCATTTTGTGTTCCTAGTCAGTGTTTGTCACCCAAGTCTCAGAGCTTGGTAGGGCCCCAGGGCTCACACAGGCCACCCCTTCATTTAACAAGAAGAAAATGAAACCAGAGGAGTCATCTAACTTGCTCAAAGTTACACAGCAAGTTAGTGGCAGAGACAAGACCAGAACTCAGGTCTTTTTCCTCATTCCCTGGGATTCTGTATAAAAAAAGCTGCAATTGTAGTAAGTTAATATTTATTGAGTATTTACTATGTGCCACGCACTGCACCAAGTCCTTTATGGATTATCCTATTGAACTCTCACATTAAGTCTAACGATTATCCTTATTTACACACTGAGAAAATGAAGCCTAGAGATGGTAAGTAACATCCACAAAGTTGCAGAAGAGATTAAACCCAACCTGGCTGACGCCATCGCCCATGTTCTGACCCACAAAGCTATGCTCGCTTTCACTTATTTTCTAAAACATTTGTTCATCCTTGCAGTCACTGTCCCCAAATGCCTGTTTAAAACTTGGCACCTGTGAGTCAGCGATGTCCTTTCTCCGTATCCTGCCTGCCTTTCTGAGCATGCGTGCTTGTCAGCAGTCTACCAGCTGGCTCAGTTGATTCTGTTCATAGCAGAGAACCTTCTTACGCGTGCTGCAGCCTGAGCTTCACGGTGCTTACCATCGTATGTCACATATGGGACCTGGAACCCTCTGGCGCTGTTCCCTTCGTTGGACTTAAACTGAATCCACAGCTTCTTGGATCTGGAGGTGAAGGCGATGGGGCGTTCGTAGGTCTGGCAGGTTTCATACGTTGTCACAGAATTGGACGAAGCTGCCAAGGGGAGTTGGAGGGGATGGGGTTCAAGACTCATCACTGAGCCTGCAGATAATGAACACTCATCTTTTCAAATACTCACACCACAAAACAAGTTATGTACAAGGGCTCTTCAGGACCAGCTGAGTCCTCGTAAGGGCCACAGTCGTGACTGTGGGCCCCAGGGAAGGCTAACTGCAAGGCCCATGGCTGGCAAACGGCAGCAGCCCAGGCTGCAGCACTCACTGCAGGAGCTGAGGTCAGGGCTCTCACATTGCAGGGCCAACCTGCTGCAACCTGGTGATAATCTCCGCCATTCACCGCATGGTTCCTTAGACCAGGCAGTGTGCTCTGCACTTTATAGACTTTTATCTCACTTAACCCCCAGCCCCCAAAACCAGAGGAAGTTGGTGCAGTGGTTATCTCACTTATGGAGAAATTAATTACTTGCCCAGGGTCACACAGCCAGTAGGTGGAAAAATCAGGATTCAAACCCACACCTGACTCCAGACATTGTAACCACTAATAAGAATGGCGAATACTTAAGTAGTATGTGTCATTATTATTCTGAGTGCTTTACAAATAAAAATGCATTTATTTCTTATGGTAACCCTATGAGGTAGCAACTATTATTATCCCCATTTTAACAGATGAGCACTCTGAGGCACAGAAAGTTCCCGAATGTATTCCCAAGATCATAGAACTAGTAAGAGGTGGAGCTGGGATTCAGATCCAGGCAGAGCCCCCTCATGACACTGCCTCTAAGCTGCGTTGATGACAGTATCCTTTTATGGACACTGGGTCATGCATCAGGATGGGAGGCGGGTCCCTCCTGGCTGGACCACACCCTTGGTCTTGGTCAGTCCCTAAGCCATGAGTGGCTTCCCAGGGTGAGGCAAGTGTCTGGGGTCCTGAAGCCAGCCCTGCATGAGCTTCACTGACACTCTGTGTCCTTGTGGAAGAGGGTTCCCAGTGAGCACAGAGGGAAGAATGACCTGCAGGATCACTTCCTCTAGGGTTCAACAGGAGGCCTCAACCTGTGGTTTTTGTCTAAATTTTGTTTTCTTGGCAAACTCTAGAAACTCATGTCCCATCTCTGTTCTAATACGAGGTGGCATTCTAGGCCTGCTTCTCCCATTTAAAGTCAGGCATAACCAACAAGGACCTACTGTTTAGCACAGGGAACTATACTCAATATTATGTAATAACCTATAAGGGAAAACAATCTGAAAAAGAATATATATACATATACACACACACACACACACACACACACACACACACACATATATGACTGAATCGCTGTGCTGTACACCTGAAACTTACATGATATTGTAAATCAACTATACTTCAATAAAAAATGTTTTAAATAATAAATCCAGGCAGCGTGCCATCAGGCTTTCCAGCTGGCCTCGGAAGGGGAGAGGAGAAGACAGGTGAGACGCACCAGTTTTCCGCATCACCAGGTAGTCTCCACAGTCATCCTCTATGGGCAGGAAGATCTCGGGGACCACAATCAAGATGCGGCGCTTGGGAGGTGGGTTGATGGTCCAGGTACATTCTGTGTTGGCAGGGTAATTGCCTGGGTAGTTTGGGGATTCGATGTATCCAGTGAAATCACCTAGCTCCCCTCCACATCTTCTGTCTGGAAGAGGGAATGCCATGAGTTACAAAGGCACAACACAGCTGTCATAATGTCATGGTCAAAAAATAATAATAACAATGATGTCATGGCCAGCCCCCGCTCGGCTGAGGAGAACCCTATTGCCCCTGGAAATGACACCATCGCAGGAATGAGTCTTCCCTGTAGTGCCCACAGCCCCCACTGGGAGCCCAACTACATTAACTTCACACACAGAGCCCACCCCTCTGGCTTCCCAGGGCATCATTTTCTCATTAACTTGAAGGCATTCAAGGTCAGGGACAGGTGTTTGTGAAACAAAAGGATAACTTTAGTTTTTACTGTTTTGCTTACAAAGTCCAAGTGCCAGGAGAACGCATGGCACAGAACTTGTAGGTCTGTCAAAATAGGGAGAATAGAGCTTACTGCTCAGCAAAGGATATTTGACCCTTTCCTAGAAATCTCTGATGAAGACATGACAGCCATACTCTTTCACTTTTCTCTCTGGTCAAGACCATGTTTTATTTTTAAGTGGGGAAGAGAATTCCATTCAGCTATCAGTCAGTATAGGTCATGGTGGATACTCACCTCTGGCACCAAAGGCAAGGAGCATACACACTTGTGCGTACACACACACACACACACACACACACACACACCACCTCAGCCACACTTCACTCACTGAATCTCCATTCATCCAACAAATATTCTTGCTCTAAAGGAGCTTAATGTTTAAAACTGTCAGGTGAACCTGTTCAAGAGAAGATGTTGAAGGATTACCTTTGGCCTCTCTCTAGTTGTAACTGGGATTTATTACTCCCAGTAGGAAAAAAACACAAAAACCCAAAAAAAACAGCCTTTTGTTCCTGGAAGAGAAGAGGGAGAGAGTCACGGCGTCAAGAAAACTAAATGCCTCCGAGCCTGACCGGCTACCTGAGGAACTGTGCCATGCAGCTCCTAAGGGCCAACCAAGGACCAGGGGTGGGAAGGCAAGGAAACATTTCCTCTTGATGGGGAAAAGAATCTTCTTACACTGTGAACTTCCCAAGTCTAACCTACCAACAGACTAGGATATTATGAGCGGCAGTAGGCTTCTTGTTAAGGCACGGGGAGGGGGAAGGGTAAGCTGGGACGAAGTGAGAGCGTTGCATGGACTTATATATACTACCGAATGTAAAATAGATAGCTGGTGGGAAGCAGCCTCATAACACAGGGAGATCAACTCAGTGCTTTGTGACCACCTAGAGGGGTGGGATAGGGAGGGTGGGAGGGAGGCGCAAGAGGGGGGAGATATGGGGATATATGTATATGTATAGCTGACTCACTTTGTTATAAAGCAGAAACTAACACACCATTGTAAAGCAATTATACTCCAATAAAGATGTTAAAAAATTTTTTTAATTTCACTAAAAAGAGACTAGACAGCTACTTGTGAGGATTTGTTAAAAGGGCTTCGTTGGGATAGAGAGAAAGCTAGATAAGCTTCCAGTCATAAATTCAAATGATTCACTGCCCCCTTCAATCCCCTACTCTTCCAGTTTGGGGAGGCATCTTGCTCCCCTACATTGCTGAACCAGCTGAGGTTGTCAGCTGGCCTTTACTAGAGAATTTTACACAATAGTTAAAAACAAACAAGCAAACAAACCAAGTCCAAACAGCAAGTCCTTGAATGATTTACCTCCCCATTCCTACAGAATACAAACTAAGCTCCCTAGTCTGGCAGTCAAGACTGTCAGTGAAAAAACGCTGGGCTTCCCTGGTGGCGCAGTGGTTAAGAACCCACCTGCCAATGCAGGGGACATGGGTTCGAGCCCTGGTCCAGGAAGATCCCACATGCCACGGAGCAACTAAGCCCGTGCGCCACAACTACTGAGCCTGCGCTCTAGAGCCCACAAGCCACAACTACTGAGCCCATGCACTGCATCTACTGAAGCCCCCGTGCTCTAGAGCCCGTGCTCCGCAACAAGAGAAGCCACAGCAATGAGAAGCCCACGCACTGCAACGAAGAGCAGCCCCCACTCGCCGCAACTAGAGAAAGCCCGCGCACAGCAACAAAGACCTAACACAGCCAAAAATAATAAATAAATAAAAATAAGTAAAATTAAAAAAAAGAAAAAACGTTGCCTGCCATGTCAGTAAACAAAGGATGTTGCAACCACTGCAGCCACCCCAAATGATGCACCCTGAGGAGACTCAGGATGAGAAAGCACAGGATGCTGGCCCCAGATAGCTGAGGTGCAGATCAAAGGAACGATTTCAGTGAGCCCAGACTCTTGCATCTTCCCTTACACAGAAAAGCGCCAACTTCCTTACCTTGAGATATCGGGTCTTGTTTAATTAACAGTAATCTTGATGTTCTGACTACCTGGTCTTTGTTGCAAAAACTCATATATATCCTGGTTCCTCCCCTTTCTCTTTGGAGTAGTCCCTCAGAGCTATCAGAGAGGCTGTGTCCCGGGCTTAAGATCTCAGTTTTGTGGGCCGAATAAAACATAACTCTCAACTTCTGGGTTGTGCTTTTTTTTTTTTCAGTCAACAAGGCTTCCTTTCTTGGTCTGCTTCAGACTCCCTGCAGCACATTCCATGATCAGGTCCAGGGGTCTCTTCCCATAAAGCCTTTCACTTTTCTGAGTCTGTGCTTCCTCCCAGCTGCTCTCTTGGGCGTGAAGCTCTTTCTCCCACTCTCCCCCAACCCTCCCCATCAAAACCTTTCCTCTTCTCTCCAGACAGAGGGAGTAGCTCTTTCCTCTGTAGTCCCGCAGCCTGTGCTGCTGCAGGGCCAGGGACTGATTCTGCTTGCGTTGCCTGGCACACAACAGGTCCTCAGACAGTGCTTGTTGAACAGGGCTGAACTGACATTTTACCCTTGGGAGCAAATTACAGCAAGTAGAGCCTGTGAATGTGCCTGGAGAAGTAGCCTGCATCAATACAGGTGAGTGGCTGCAGGTCCAGCACTGATCTGCATAGTTCAGAGGAGGGCTGACAACGGCTCCGCGGTCCTGAATGAACCAGGGACCCCTGCCAACCCGCCCCCCTACGTGGACCCAGGTGCTTGCCCTCTTAATCAAGGACTGTGCAAAGCCTTAGAGAGAGACCTACTTTTACACTGGGTTATGTTTGTGGAGCCATCAAAGTCAGTCGTGGTATTTCCTGGGCAGGAAACACAATTATTCTTTCCAAATTCTGGCTGGTATGTTCCTGCTGGGCAACGAATACATCGGTGAGTGGTGGTGTTGTAGAAATGTCCAGGTGAACATTGAACTGTAGGGGTGGGGGAAGGTGGAGAGAACGAAAAGAAAAAAGAAAAGACTGTTATTTTCATCAGATGTAACACGAAAGCTTTCGCAGTTTGGGACAGAAATGTCTATGCCCAAATGTAGTACTGCTTTCCTACTACTCTGGGGCTAATCAACACTTAAGTCCCTAAGTAGCCAGCTTGGGTGGGACTTGTGACTCATGACACAGAAAAACACAAAGGGAACGAGGTACGGGTGTATCTTCTGAGTTCACTGTCCGTGCCGTCGGGCGTGAACACTCACAGCTCTGTCTTCATGCACAGCGGGCCTGGGAGCCTGGAGGGGCGCAGAGCTGACCCCGGGCTTGGGGCTGGGCTCCTGCAGAAGGCAGTGGGGTGAGGCTCTGGAGAAGCCGTAGGCCTGTTCTGGATCGGGAAACTCTAGGGAAGGGTGAGGAGCTAGAGGAGGCCTGGAAGCAAGGAGCAGAGGGAGCCTGTGGACTAAACCTGCCCATCTCCCCGGCTGTCTTGCAGTCAGCCCCGTTCGAAGGGGAGGACCATGTCTAGGGAGTTCCTGTGCTCCCTGCACAACCAGCAGGGACGAATGGCCCTGGGGACCTGTCCTCCCTGCCACTGGGGCCCACACAGGGCACCTCGGCTGAGCTTGACTGGGGCTTTACCACGGTTCTCAAAAGGGGAAATTCAATTCCGGGAAAAGGCAAGCTGCCAAGTCCTCACCTCTGGTTTCACAGTCCTGGAAGGAAGTGGCTCCCAGGTGTTTGGTGAGGAGGCCTCCTCCACAGGGAAAGCAGGAAGTACGGCCAACTTCAGGCTGGAATGTGCCCAGGGCGCAGAGCTGGCAGGGTGCGAAGCCATCCGTGGAATATTCACCAGGTTGGCACAGACCTGGGGGGATCAATGACCTTAGGTGAGCAAGGCCCCCGGGCAGAGCCTTTCCCATCTCTCTGCAGATGAGATCAGAGAGATGTGGTCAGGCCTGTCTCCCCATGCGGACCTCAGCTCCCACCCCAGCAAGAGAAACTTTGTCCGGCCCTGCTGCGGACACTGACGAGGTGGTATGTGGGTGCCTGATGTTACACACAGGGCTACACAGCACAGTGCAAAGATGGAGACAAGTGTGGACCCTTCTGGATTATGGAGAAGGCCTGGGTAGGCTGCAGGCTTAGGACTACCCAGGGCCCAGGCAGCCGCTGCAGTGCAGGAGCCCCTAGAGACAGGGTTCTCTGCCTGCAGTCAATGTGGTAATTCGACCCAGAAGTACACCCTCACCCAGCTGATTACATCCTAGTGATATAAAGACTCTTCTGGTCATGGAAGAGTCTCCCCTTTTTACCAATTATATCTACTTAGTTACATCTCCTTATGCTGAGGTGTGTCCTGGCCTCCCTCAATTAGTGTACTAAATGCAACTAATCCAATCCACATTGACAGAGGGACCCAGAGGCATTTATTTACTTTAAGCACCTTACTTTATTATATTTTTTAAGTTTATGACAAGAATCACAGCCATAAACAAAAGGATTTCTAAAAGCACACATTCCTTAGGAATTGGCCTGGCATTGGCAAGATGCTATAAAAATCTGCCATCTCTTATATTCCTAATCATCTCTCCTCTATTAATTTTCATGGTTTTCTTTCTACCCATAAGGTACAGATATAATGGCATTTAACAAACACACCTGAGGGAGGAGTCTGGCGTCTGTCAGACCTGGCTGCTGATTCCCATTCCTCCACTCTTTGGCTGTGTGACCTTGAATGAGTCTCTTTAACCTCACAAAGTTTTTGTAGTGATACAATAACCATATGAACAACTCATGGAATTATTCATGAGTGCCTGCATGATGCCTGGTATAGGCAAGTATACAATAAGCGTTAGCAATTATTATTATTATTACTAATATTCTGATTTACTATAAATATATCTTATTAAGGTCACACACAAGTGTGAACAGATGCCCCAAAGTACCTCCTTATCAACCTTGCCGTTAGTTCCAGGATTTCATAACAGGCCAAAGTATGCTAGGAGTCACACAGTCAATCTGAGGATCTGATTTTTAAACGAGAAAAGGTCCTGCACTTGAGTTTGAAGTCATTTAGGTGGGAACTAAATCTGGCTCTGGGAATCACTAGAAGGAGAGGCAGGGCTGCCAGAGCTCCGGCGCACTCTGCCGTGGACATCACCTACAAATCGCCACATCAAATCACACCTTCCATTTGAGCCCACAGAGTGTCAGTACAGCTGGCCCTTCTGTTTAATAAAGACATTTACTAGTAAAGTAAATAGGAAAGAAGCCCACAGAACCTAAGTAAGCATGGTTCCAGGGTTAACATTTTATAAGAGACAATTAAAAACTCTTCACAAGAATCACGGACATAGAGAACAGACTGGTGGTTGCCAAGGGGGAGGGGGTCGGGGGAGGGGTGGAGTGGGAGTGCCAGGTTAGCAGATGTAAGCTAGTATATATGGAATGGATAAACAACAAGGTCCTACTGTGCAGCACAGGGAACTATATTCAATATCCTGTGATAAACCATAACGGAAAAGAATATTTTAAAAAAGAATGTATATACATGTATAACTGAGCTGTACAGCAATAATTAACACAACATTATAAATCAACTATACTTCAATTAAAAAACAAATAAAGGGGCTTCCCTGGTGGTGCAGTGGTTGAGAGTCCGCCTGCCGATGCAGGGGACGCGGGTTCATGCCCCGGTCTGGGAAGATCCCACATGCTGCGGAGCGGCTGGGCCCGTGAGCCATGGCCGCTGAGCCTGCACGTCCGGAGCCTGTGCTCCGCAACGGGAGAGGCCACAACAGTGAGAGGCCCGCATACCGCAAAAAAAAAAAAACTAAAAAAAAAAACAAAACTAAAAATGCAACACACACACACACAAACTCTTCACAGAGTTTTAACAAAATAACCAGATGGATGCTTTTTTTACAAAAATTAAGCTCTGACTTTGAGACCAAAGCTAGAAAAAGAATCAGCGCTACCTCCTCCATTTTTGGACACTTTCAGGAAGTCCCTACACACTGGGAGATCACTCAGGTCTCAGGGGATATTTATTTACAGTGATTAAACATGCAATTGCAACATTTACACATTTTTTTCCTGTCAGTGTATTCTATCAGATCTTCATTCATTTGTTCAGCATGTGTCAGGCATTGAGCTAGGTACTGGAGAGCCAATGATGAGCCCAACACGGTCCCTGCTGGTAGGAATTCCATGGTGCAGTACGCATTGTCTGCATTGAAATGCACTTATGCCTTCTGCTAAACAATACAGGAGATTGGAGGAGTAAGAAGGGACAGAGGGCATTCTCACCTCCACATTCAGACGCATTCCAAGCTTCTGGAGTCTCCAGGGCCCCAGGATTTTCTGGTCTCGGGCATGGTTCGCATGTGATTTGCCCTTCCTCATTTTGGAAGGTTCCATTTGGACATAAAATGCAGCGTTCTTGTACTCCATCGTAGTAGGTTCCAGCCCTGCAACTGACTAGCCAAAGGGGGAAATGATCTTGTCAGTGAGGGCACAGAGGCCAAGGAAGGATGATGTGAGTGCTAGAGATGAAGGTAAACAGATGGCACTGACCCCACACTCCCCCATACAAACCCCCTGAATACAGAAGGTGTGCCACCTCTGGGCTCCCTGTGTACACCTCTCTGCCATGGTCTCTGTCACCCACTGTTAGAGGCATTTACAGGTCGTCTCTCCCTAGACCATGAGCTCCTCGGGGGCAGGGATCACAGTGGTCCTAATTATTTTTGAACACAAGCACTGATGACATTCCCTACTTCACAGGAGTATAAAAGTGAAAATCATTCACTGAACACAGGACTGGTGCTGGAAGAATAGAGAGGAGGGGGCTATTAATTCTGGCTGGTGGCATCCTGGAAGGCTTCCCAGAGGAGGCCACATTTGTGTCAGGCCTTGAAGGATGAGTAGGAGCTCCCCAGATAGGACGAGCGGCAGGTTGTAAAGATTCATGCCTGACATTGGAGGAAAGGGAAGAAAAGAAGGTTGGGGATAGACTGAAAAAGTCCTTGAATGCCAGGCCTTTGGATTTTATCCTGCAGGTAAAGGAGCCATTGAAAGGAGAAGAATACGACCAGAAGCTGTGTTTTAAAAAGCCCACTCTCTGTTGGCTGTGGGGAGGGTGATCTCAAGGGTCTTACAGATGCCCTCTGCAAAACAGCATGCTTCATATTTGTAATAAAATTGATACATTACAAAGAGCAAAGCCTAGTAAATGTCTCCTGAAAGAATAAACTACAAGGAAATTAATACACTATGCTTTTGATTATATTTTGGTGTTCTTAGTTAAACATGGGCTCATATCTTATTTTAGGATATGAATATAAATATACTGAAGTGGGTTCCCTAGTATAATATTTAAAGAACATCATCATAACCACCAAAGCAGGCTTTCTGATGGCTGACGTTTGTTGAGTACGTACCATCTACTAGATACTGTGCCACGAGCTTTACACACTTTATCTCATTTAGTTCTGGAAACACCCAAAGGAGCTGGGCGCTATGATTAGCTCCATTTCACAGAAACAGAGACTTAGGGACATTAAATAATTTGGCCAAGGTCCCACAGCTAATCTGTGAAACACACCTACAATGAGATCAAGAGCTTTGAGTTTAAAGAGGAAAAAGGTCATTGAATAAAAGTGCCAACTGAATCACAATTCCAGACTTTGCCAAGGATTCTCTGTGGGGCATTAGGGGAGTCTGACTGGAATAAAACACATTTTCTTTAATACCTAAGCTGCTAAGAAATAGAAAACAAAATATCACATGATAAAATTAGCTATTATAGCTCTTGAATGTGTGTAAGGGGGAATACTGGTTTTCATCCTACCCTACAAATGCAATTTGCATATGTACTTTTAGGGTTAAACGTGGCAAAGTTCTCTATTACCAGTAATAAACATGTCTTTTCATTATTTACCCCATAATTTAAAGAAAACTGAGGCTTTTAAAAAAAATCATAGTAAGATGAAACATGCCACATTTCAAATATTATTTTTACAATTAAATGATATCAATCAAAGTCTACTCTAAAGTCTAAATCTTAATACTTTTTTATATTGTTTAGATTTTCTTTTACAATATTCACATATCATTTTTAATTAATTTAATGACTTTTTTAAAAAATTAAAAGTAAACCAAACTCTTGGCAAACGACATTATAATGGGTATGATGCACAGAACTCTGGCAGACAGAGCCTATAATTCCAGACTTAAGTCTCTAAATGCAGCCCTACAGGATAATGGTTTCCATAATTACTCTGGTTTCAGCTCACCTCCCATGAAAAGCTGGGCTGAATTATGTGCTAGGAATTCATGGCTTTTTATCCTGTGTTGCACCTGACTATCCCAGTGCCTAAAGCAGGCCAGTAAATGAGAGCATAACCCCTTCATGGGTCTAACAAGCCAGCTGTCATGAAGACTGGCAGCAAGAAAATAAAACCAGGGCTGTTAGGAGCTCCTCTAGCCCAAGCCATGTCCATTTTGGGAACAGCTGTTTTCATAACACTCATTCACCTAAAGGGACAGTGCCCATACGACGGCAATGATTCCAACAGCCCCATGAATCATAACTTAGAGTCGGATCAATTTGGTCTGTTTTATCACTGTTCCTCTGGCAGAAAACAATCCCCTTCATATAGGTGGACAAGAATGGACCTGGTTCTCTCTGCGAAGAGTAACTGCATGGACTCCCGCTGCTCTGGTTGTCCACTCCTTCTTAGAACTATTGAAACCCGGCAAAGCCTTTTCAAGGTTACATTTTGTGAAGCCTCAAGATATCCCACATCTGTTGCAATTTCTCAAGTGAGCAAAGGACTGAGAAATGCCCCTTGGGCCGCCCTG